CAGCAAGGTGATGTAATGAAAGTGAGGCCTTTTGTATCTGCAGCCAACTCTGCGAGGCACAACAGGATGATGAAGCACCTCAAAGTGTCCTGAACACACCATTGTCAGGCACTGGCTTCTTTAATTTACATGTTCCATTACATAATATTCAGGAGTTACATGACAAAGCAATGTTCCTGTAGAACCATATGCTTTTGCAATTTGTCTGAGAAAGACTATGTCATGTCTTCTTTACTCAACAGGATTCTTGAGTAAAACCACCTTTGTGCAACAACTTTGTGAAACTTACAGTTTTAGATCCGTAAACCTGGGGAACAATTTCCACATCTTTGTGCGACATGAGCTAATACAACTTATGATGTCCCTGGACTCGCTGCTCTCACCATCATAAATAGGTTTGATTTGTGAGAAGAGCAGTAATAATCCGCTACTTGAAGGGTGCAGCAATCCAGGCAGGTAGACACAGACACCCTGACAGCAGTGACACACCCAATACGTCTAATTGGGTGTGTCTGCCAGATCCATTAGTGAAGGCCCAGTCAATGCCTGGAAAAGTCCACCGCAACAGCTGGAACCGAACAAAAGGACAGAATGCACAGCGTCATCCTGTCTTGGGGCGAGCTAGAGAAAAAAACACCCATCCATTCATTCCTGATTACTTGCTATGACTGTTTTTAGAGTTCTACTATGCTTACAATCTATATGAAGTATTCCTAGCATTGAACCATGTATTTGTAAGAACCATTGGCAGATTGTGAAGGGTACTTTTGCAACAAAAGCAAATAGAACTCAAACCTTACATACAAATTACCTGAGTCACTAACTACATATGCACAATTCTTTTATACAAATATTTGGCCTTACTTTACCTCCAGCATCACTATTACTTCAATTTGGTAACCATGAAAAATATTATTGCTGTTTTCTTAACACTCCTCAGGCTCCTCAAAAGACTCTTTGGTGCCGTCGGAGTGTGAGCCTGATAAGACTTTTTTGGTATTTCAAGTTGTTTCCTTAAATTCAGAATATGAAGAATTTCACTAAAAGCCCTAACAAGGATTTGCCTCCAAGTGCAAAATAATAAATTACCTCCAGGAAATGACACATATCAAATAACATTTGGGGTCTCAGACAGAAAAGCTGAATTCAGGACACATCATGGACAAAACATATGGACTCTAAAGGTTATCAAAAAATAAAAATAATAATAATAATTGAGAGAGTATGTGTAGATAAATTTAAAACAAATGAGTAATTAACTGTTTCTTCTAAGTGCTGATAACTTTCTATGAATTAGACAGAGAAAATTCAAAAGATATAAATAAAGATTAATTGTTCTTGGCTATGGCTTTTCCATTCACTACAGCAAAGCTGCAGAATAGTATTTTGTTGTGTTCTCCTATACTTACAATCATTTTTAGAAGCCATTTCACTTTGAAGTTTTTTTTTCCCATTTTGCTTTGATGCATCCGGGCACTTCACTGTATTTTATTAGGACTTTATGTAATAGAGCAACCCAAAGTAGTGCATAATTGTGAGATGGAAGGAGAAGGACGTTCTAGTTTTAACGCACTTGCTTTTTCCAAGAAACCAAATTTCATTGTGTGATTCTCAAAGTGGTCTTGTTTTTCTTTGGACATTGGTTAAATTTTTCTATTCACTTTCAGTTTACCAAACCATAACAGTGGATTGTGTACCTTGTTCTTCAAAAACGTATCAGTGTCAAACAGCACATGAAAAAGTATCTGAAATTATGTTTTTCCAGAATATAGAAAAAAAACAAATCAAGCAAAAACCTGAAACAGGATGTGGAAGGTGAGTCATCCTCCAGTCGATAATCTAATGTCCCAGCAGCATTTACATGTGGGCCACACTGTTTTAACAAGCTAAGTGAGCATTTTTCTGAAAATAGTCATGGACTGAAGTAAAACTGAATACATAAACATTCAGGTTGGAATCTAAAAATGTATCTATCACGTATTGTGTTTTAGTACTGCAAAAGGTCTCAGTTTAAACTGGTGTGTGAATTCAGGGCCTGTTTCTTCTTTCAATCATGCCCCGAAAATTTCTACCAAATACTATCCTCATCTTGATTGAATCTTCCAACCCTGTGTGGCTTCACAACGACTGAAGTTATTCAGTTCTTGGAAAACTGCTTAGAATTCTGCATGTCTCATTTTGTTCTCCGGGGGGGGCTTACTGGTGACATGGTTGACATTTTGATTTTCTGGTGAAGCAGAACAGACTTTGGTCAGGTTAACAGACAGAGCAAGATGTTTTTTTTCTTGTTTTTTTTAGGGAAGAAGACAACAGCAATGCTACCTTTAACAGTTACGGTCTTAGCCTGGTCTCACACATACCGAGCATTGTTATAAATTAGTAGATCAAAGTAAGAAACAAAACTGAAGCATTTTCTGAACAATTTTGCCGGAAAATGTTTCCTTGAAAAGAACAAAACAATTTTGTCCAACTCTTTACAAAAGCATAAATCTTACAACAAAAACTTACAATCTACAGCTGTAGAATCACCAAGAAGTAAATTTGTTTAAATTTTAATAAAAATGTACCAAACATAATTGAATTTTCACTTTACAAATTGATACCTAAATTTCAGCTTCTGTTTCTTTAAGAAACTCCTTCTCTTTATGACACTGAAAATGCTTCTCATTATGCCATTTACACACATTCTCAGGGGTGTTGGACTGAGTGATAATTTGTAGGCCAAGCTCAGAGGACTCGAAGTTCCAGCAGGTGTTTGCTAATTGCTGCTGCCGCTAGTCTGGAGGAGCTGTTTGGGGGAGCGGTGCTGTGTAAGGCGGAAGCTCAGCTGGACACTCCAGCTCCAAGGAGGAGTTTTGTGGAAAAGGCGACACTTTGTGAGAACTATTGATCAAGCACCCCATGACCAGTTGCCATGGGAGATTCAAGGATTCCTCAAACATGCAAAAATAATCAAAACACTTTTTTTTTTTTTTTATGAGGGAGTAACAGCGTAATATAAAGCGTTTCCTTCAGTCTAAGACAAAGACACTTTGAGTTTCCTATGAGTTCCCAATTTATGGAAAAGCTTGATTTCTCTGAACATCCCAAACGGTTTCATTTCTTCTGAACAAAAATTTGCATCAAATAGTAAGTCAGTCGAAAATCTTTGGAATTTGCTTACAGGCTCAGTCTGTGCTTTGACACCATCCAAAATAAATAAATTCTACCAAGAGTCTACTTGTGTGTGGTTCAAATAAATTCAAACTTGTGCACCCAATTCTTGTTTTTAAAAACTAATTGACTCAGTGCATATAGTTTAATTATGCAACCCTAAAAAAAACTGTTCTAATGCGTCCCTAAAGACCCCAAATTAATAGCCCCGTGCTGAATGTATGTTAACATCACATAACTATATTTAGTACACCACTCTCAAATCACTTGGGGTAAATTTGTCGGGATAAGCTAGGAAATCACAGCTTCTGCAGAGAACAATGCCTGCCACTTGTGGAGGTTACCAGGTCATAAAGTTGGAGAATGAGGTTGTGGTTGGTTGAGGCATTAATGGCTCCGTAAACAATAAGAGAGCATGAAAATTTAAAGATGCAGGGATCTGGGAGGATTGCTGCAGAGCCGCTGGAGAAAAACCGCCGATAACGACTCCGCCAAACTCCCCGCCTGCATACGAGCATGCACCACTGGCTTCCAGAACACATAAAGTCTGGGTTTTCTCGAGGAAAGTGTTTTAAAACCATTTGTTAGTCATCAGCAAACACAAGCTGGAGGGGAGAAAAAAAAAAGAGCCCATGGAGGCTTATTTTATAGAGCATATCAGCCTAGGATGGGGGTGAACCGTTTGCAGCTCTGACTGAAAGGGCAGGGGAAACGCAGCACACAACTTTACATGCTGTAATGGCTTTTATCTCTCTCCTAAATCACAACAGTAGCTGTGACTGTTTTTACTGCGTGTCCAGAGGCCTGTTTTCAGTTTGTCACCAGAGACATTTTTTCTTGTTCGTGCCTTCACTTTATAGATTTATCCCTTTTCTAGGTCAAAGCCACACTTTGTAGATTCAAGTTACTGCGCCTGGGTGTTGGGAAGCTGGGATACAGAACGATTCTTTCTACACAGTGGCTCAACTCAACAGTTCTCTGCAAACTGGTAATAAATCTTCCAACATTTCATTTTTTGGGGATGTTACATTGCATTTTAATGGATATTTGTAGTTAGATACCCTGCAAAAGTACATGTAAAATGCTACGTGTGTTCAGGAAATTAACAGAAGACCCCCTTAATGCACCTCCCAGCCGGTAGAGGCAGCAGGATGCTGTGGGGAAACTCTTTTTAAGCATAATTAAGCAGGTCAAACCTGGTAACATGGATGGAGTGTAGATGTTCAACCTCAATACAATTAAAACCATCTCTAATGGCAACTGCAAGAAAAAATTATAATTTTTAAGTCTTTTTTTGTAAAACAGAAAATGTGAGTTGATTATACTTTCCCTTTCTTCTCACCATTTTGCATCATTTTGAGTTGGTTTTGCACACAAAACTTGAGTAAAACATACTGAGGTCCCCAGTGATAAATGATGAAATTGAAGGGTGTATGAATAACTTTTTTTCACACACAGGAAGCAAGAATTTAACAGGAATGTCTAAATGATGCAAAACAGAAATGAGAGGTGTCTTGACAGATTTTATTCCATTTTTCCCTTCTCCTAACTGTTCATTTCTATTTTCCTGCAGGGATGAGTCATGACTCTGAGCTCCCATATTTAGTCGTGAAGCTTGCCATCCGCTCAGTCAGCATATTTCCTTTAGAAATGTTCACACACAGCCTTATTTCTTCTGCCAGTTGTCCATTACGTCTGTGGTTTACAACATTGGCATGTATGTGCAGGTTGACACCAGCCTTAGCTGCAGCTAAATGAGTCAATCTATGAAACTGAAAAATAGAGGGAAGGAGGCAGGAACTATATTTAAGGGTTTTTTTAAATAACTTTAAAAAAAACACTAAATATTCACATGTCAGGCTTTTTTATTCAAGACTTAATAAAGGAGTCATACAGTACTGAAAAAATAGATATACAGTACAGGAGTTAGTCATGTGATGCATGTGATCAATTGTGGACAGTGCAAGCTAAATTCACTCTTAAAACAGGTACAGCGCTTTCTGGAAAAAACGTCTTTCCAGTTGTCTTTCTACTTAATAATACTTTGAGCAAAAATTGGTCCATTGTCAACAAAAGCAGATGAATTAAACAGTGAACAAATAATCTAAGATATACTGTCTCATACTAGATTTCAGACCTACCACAAGAAATCACAAAACTTTTTAAGGCCATAAAATTGAGGTTATTAAAAATAGGACTTCTTTTTTAGGGGCCTGCAAAACCTGGTTAGCATGTAGATAGCATGTAGATAGCATGTGCTGGCTGCAAAGAAGCCATATTGAGAAGCCGCTCTTTTCTGCAGCGTGTTTGTAGATTGTTACTGCAGATATGGGCAAGTTTAGACTCAGCAGCTCTTCTCTTGAGGCCATTCCTTACCAATCAATCAACCAATTTAAATTGAATTCAGTGTTCTATTGTCTTTCCCATTTTTAGGAATGATGATAAATATTCTTTGAAGTTTAAAAGGATATTGTGAATAACTTGTATAAGAGTATATGTTTAAAAAGAATAGTTACATTTTTTACATGTGATTTTTTTCCCCTAACTGAATAAATATTCTTGATTTAAACTTCTTTAGAAATAAGTGTGAACCTTGATGTTAATATTTTTATGGCTGTAATGATGATTTTTTGAGGTACCTATTAATAAAAATGTATTTCTTGTTTCTGACTGAATACTAAAAAAAATGCCTGAGTGATTCAATAAATTACAACACAGTGCAAACAACTCAACAACATAAAAGTTTGTGTGTATGACTAAGTACTGATATACAGGAGAATAAAATGTTTAACAAACCAGCTTGCTGCTGTTCAGAGGTAACTGTATCATTTGGGTTCCTAAAGCAAAGTCAGGCTCGACACTTGTTACACTGAAAGCAGCTGTGTGTGTTTTTACTCGGCTTTAGCTGACTGCGGAGGTTTAGGAGCCTTCTGTGTCGTCCCTGCCAACAGGGAACTCCGTTATCTCCTTGGCAAGTCGTTCAGCTATCGTCCTGCTGCTGGCAACAATCAGCCTGCGAGACATCAGATCAAACGGGCCACCTGGTTAAGGGAGAAAGATGCAAAAATAAGGATTTTTTCCCCCAATATGGTAACTGGGAATTAATTTTCCCAACAAGAAACAATCTGATGGGTCGCTGGAAAAGACCTTTGTTGTGTGAAAGCTGTGCAAAAAGGAGCCACAGCTTTTTCTTGCCACAGATCACATTTCTAAAAAGTGTATTTTTTAAAGTTTCATGAATGATCAGGGGTTCCTGAAGCACTTGAAAGCTGAATGGGTATAATAATCTGTACAAAACAGATAGTTGAAGAACCTAAAGGACATATTGGAAACAATACATTTCTTTGTTCTAGTTTAGCAGCAAAGTTTTTGAATTGAAAATGTTGCTTGTTTTGTCAATTTATAGTTTTGAATAAAATGACAATAAAATGCAGACCTAGAAAAGGATAAAAGAAAAACTTGACACTTTCCAGACTGTAATAAAGACCAGATTATTTTTATTTTGTCCCTAGATGTAAAACTCTTGCACTTTTGATTTACCTAGACTACCTTTTGAGGCTCATAGGAAATGTGGACCAAACGTGAGATGAGAATAGAAGAAGACGGTGAAAAACTTTGACAGAAAAAGAAGATCAAGTACTCTAAGGTGACATTTTCTATTCTGCAGAAAGCATGAACACAGCTGTGCTCAGCCGGGGGGGTCTTGTGAATATCCCGACACCTGCTGCTGCCTCACATCTTGACATTTCTGTTTACATGGAAGGGAAACCAAGGTGCTTATATAATGGATAATGTTAAGTAAAACTCATAAAAAAGATCTCTAAAATTGCTTGGGAAGCATACAGTAACCATTATGTGTCTAATTTGTCTACGATGAAAGTGTATTAAGCTCTATAACAGATCTAACATTTTGCTGATTGTTTCTTGGTGCAACAGTGACCCCTACACTCCAAATCTGGAAAAGTGAAGCATAAGTTGCATTTTTTAAATAACTGAAGTTGGAACTCATCTCGCCGGTAAGATGAACAGCAAGTGAAAAATTTTTTTTAAAAAGTGAGAAAGTTGTAAAGCTATAATTCAGAGCCGGTGCTGGAGACGGAGCTCCGTTTCCACAGTGACCGGCTACATTCAGCTTAGAGAAGAGCAGCGAGAGATTTCCTGCCTCTACGTGTCTGGGTGTACATCGCAGCATGCTTGGCACAGCGCAAAGGTTGCTTTCACTTTCCTAAGAGCAAACCCCTTGATGCACAGCACATGCACCTTTCCCCTCAAAGAAACCACCTGCAGAAGCTGCCCCAGTGGGCGGTGGGCTATCAGGGAATGAGCTACACATCCAAACACCTCCCTCACCTGATTGGACAAACTGGTTTCAGTTTTTAGGCAAGGATGTGTCGATTGTTCTTAGTCCCTTCTTGAGTTTGCCATGACGATCTCTAAAGTTGGGTGGAAAGGAGTGAAACCAGGGAGAGGGGAAGCAGTTTGTCTAGGAAGTCTGTAGGATTCAATGAGGCAGGCTCCCTTTGGAGATTTTCCAGAAGAGCAAACTGCAGTATTTATCCAGCTCACTGGCCAGATTGCAAATATTGATCGCATGGCGAAGTTTTGAGTATCTACCAGACAAATCAGTTAATGCATTGTTAAAGAAGCTGAAATGAATGACAGGATTATGGGTGTTTTAGGGGATAAGCTTTGTAGGGAGCATAAATATATATTACTGGACAGGACAGGGCCTATTAGCCGCTACAGCTAGTGACACACACCTGCAGGAGCCATTTCTGTGCACTGAATAATGTCCACAAAGACCATAGTGGTATAATGTGGGATGTGTGTGAATCTGTCAAAAAAAAAAGGTTGACGCCTTATTATTTATTATGATTTCTATAATATGTGGTTTAATTTAAACATGAGAAATTGCAGATGTTTAAAGATATAAAATACGTATTGTCTCTAGATTTAAATCTATAAAAGGTTTGGTTTCAGTCAGTTCTGTCAAGATGCAAGAGAGGACTAATCAAATACACTGGGCAATAATTAAATTTTACATAATTATCTCTGTAAGAGCCAAAGTCTGTTCACTCAACTTGAGAACTAGGATCAGTTGCCCAGTTGTCTTTTGAAAGTGTCTCAAGGTGACATTTGTTGTGAATTGACACTAAATTAATAGAAGTGTCCCTAAAGTTCACATTTGATTGGTCACTTTGACAGGGACTTCAGTAAGTTTTCAGCAGAATCCCTGTTGGAAGACGTCCAGTTGTCTCTGTGACTCACCTGAAATGTCCATGATGACGCCTCCGGCTTCAGTCACAACGGCCGCCCCTCCAGCCATGTCCCAGCAGTGGATCCCCATGTGATAATAAGCGTCGGCTGAACCGGACGCCACTAGGCACATGTTGATGGCTGCGCTGCCCGGGGAGCGGATCCTGGAAACGGGACATTTAGAATAATAAGTGAGCAGCAATTATCCCCTGCTTAACAGTTCGTTATGTTACCTTTTAAACTTTTCCTTTTTTCCGTTGAGTCTGCACAACTTACTTTAATTTTGAGAAAACACCAACAAGAGGCGGCTTTTATTGTTAGAAGAAATAGATAAAAAGGTTGCTGTGTACACAACAACAAGGGAGAAGAAGGTGGAGGGCAGCAGCAGTTTCCATATGATTTATTAATAGGCGTTTTGATCTAATTCAGGTCAAAAGATTAAAAATGAAGAGGGTAAGACCATTTACACACACCTCCCACTGGGAGGTTTCAGGCGCTTTCAGGTTATTTTAAAAAACGCATCACAAAACACTACAGAGAGATGGGTCTATGAAAAAAGAGCTTTTAGGTAAATTCCTATTTTTGTGTCTTCATTGGGTAAACAAAACCTAACGTTGAAAAATTAGCGCTAATCAGTGTTTAATTTGCAAGATGTGCAGTATCATACTGCTGAATGAGTGACTTAAGGGGTACGAATATGGAGTGTGAAGGTGTAGAACTTTATAAAATAACAATTCAAAAGTAAATACATTTTTTAAAGAGTTGGAGCACAATAACAAATTTTACTGGACGATAAATTGTCCCAGAAGTTATTGCGAAAACTGATCAAATTGTTGTTTTGAGACCATTTTCAAGTAAAATAATGGAAATGGCTTGAAGTCAGCAAGTTTCTAGATGCACCGTTACAGCATTTACCGGATCCTGACTCATGCCAGACAAAAAAACCTTTCCCGTTTTTATATCACAAACTTAAACATGTGGAGTTTGCTAAGTGGTACCCTGGCCTCAGCTGGAAACATGCTTTGAATAAAAATGGTCAATATTTTTTGCCACTCATTGGAGAAACGGAACCTTCTACATTATATGGAGTCATCTCACATACAGTGAAAAACATTAAGCCATAATGTCAGGCTTCTGAGAAGTATGTCGGTTTTGCATCTCCTACGTTTCATTAATTGCTGCATCACTCTATAGGTTAATATTTACCCATGAACAGGTATGGTGAGGATAGTCTTGATGTTGGCCAACATAATATTGAAGTGCTCAGCTTCCTTCTTGAAGCCCGTTTCAGTCAACACCAAAGACTTGCTGATGTCTTCAGAAAGGGAAACAAAAAGAAATGCATTCATTCCTGAAACAAACGGGATCAACAGCAGACATCCAGCTCCACCTAGTGGACTGATTTGCAACTACAGTACCAGTCATGTGTCATACGGACCTTTCTGCCCGGACACTTTGATGGAGTTTCCATTGCAAAATGCCCCCTTCCCCTTCCGTGCCGTGTACATTTTGTCCTCGATGCAGCTGTAGACAATCCCAAACTCTATCTGAGAGCAAAAGGCAGTGCAGAAAACACGCTGATGATTGAAGCTGTGTGGGAGGAGGGCTAAAAACAGAGCAGCAGCTGCATAACAAGGAGGATCTTTCAGCATCACTACTCAGAGATTCACAAGGCGACAATGGGGTTAATGTCTATTATAATCAAGAAATCACAGTGGGGGAATAAACATGAGATTTGCATACATTAGGACCTACCTCTTTCTTCACTGTGAAGCCGATTGATACAGACACAAAGGGGAACCTACCCAACAGAAATGTAAAATATAAAACATCCGTTTAATCAACTCCCAGTAGGAATCAGGCTCTAAGAAGTGAGTTTCTATAATCAGTTCATTTTCATCTAATTATCCCTGAAGACAATCCATGAGAGGACAATCCAAGAAAGGGAACCTAATTAAAAGATAAAAATAGTCAAGGAGGGACTAAGATGAAACAGATTCAGAGCAGTTTCAGGCTTCCAGGAGAGCCTTACATCCCGGTTAGGAGTACCTGTGCACAAAGTTGGTGGTGCCGTCGATGGGGTCAATGATCCAAGTGGGATTGTCGGTAAGGATGCTGGGAGCACCAGCGGCTACCGACTCCTCACCGATGAAGCTTAGAAATAAAAAACAAAAACAAAAGGAAACAGATGAAACAGCAGCAGTTTTGAATTATTAAATTAATTTCATATAAAGATTTTTGACAAAAATTGTACTACAAAGCAAATGACAAAAGCCTAACGACAGACCTGCTTTAAGCTTTTAATTTTTGTAATACATACTTACACTTAAAGGGACGGTATTATGCATTTTCCAGGAAAACTGCACTATTTTATGGCGCAATCAAGCAACTATGTTACCTTCAGTTGCTTTTAAATGCTGTGTATATGTATTTATCAAACATGACATAAAATAAATTTCACTTTGTAATTTGACTACTTGAAATCAGCCCCTGTATCTTTTAGAAGCTCCTCTTTTTTCTGACACTCCACCTTCAGCACATCATCACAACAAGGCTTCTCATTTTGCCGTTTGACTGGAGGTAGATTAGCTCAGCAGATTCCATAAAGTGTTGTCTAATTGTTTCTGCACTAGTCTGAAGGAGCCGAGTGGTTGAGGCATGGAGGAGGGTTGCTCTGTGAGGTGAAGGTTTGGATGGGGATTGGAGCTGTGTGGAAATCAGCAGCACTTTGTCAGAGCACATCTGAACGGATGTCATGGGAGATTTAATAATTCCTAAAACATGCATGAAAGAATCAATACCACTTCTGGTACACTCTTTATGAATAAATAACATATTAACGAGACACAAAGCTTAAAAAACTATTTTAAAATTCTACCTCTTTTTTTCCTGTTTCATTAGTGATTGTTGCAACAAAAATCTCCCATTCAAGCCACAATGAATCTTGGGATAGTTTGGGCTACAAAGGATACAGCAGGCTTGCCCTGTCCTATAAATCTGGGGGGGAAAAAGGCGTACTGGTAAATTCTCTAAAATAAACTTAGTTTTCTCCCCAATCATGTGCAAGTTTATGCTGAATTTGACACGCATCACGTACATAGACAAAGGTAGCCGCAAACGGCAAAATCAGCTGCAAACACATGAATGACCCAAAACAGTCAAACACTGAAAAACTATTGCAACAGGAAATCGCTGTAAATAAACAAAATACTGCAATCACAGAAAACAGCACAAATGCTGCAACCACAGGAAATAGAAGCAAGAGGGAAAATGCCACGAACAGCAAAAGCAACTGCAGATTTGAAACCCTGCAAACTTGCATAATAATTCATCGCTCCATTCCTCTTATGCCCTCTGGAAGCAGCTGTTCTTCAGATGGAGTAAAAAAAAAAAAAAAAACTTATGCATCACAGATTTTCCATAACAGCAGCACACCTGTGCGTGGGGTACTTCTCCTTTAAGGAAGATATAATGAGCTGCTCCACTTTTTGGTCCGTCTCGGTCACCAGGTCAACCGGAGAGCTCTTCTGCATGATGGTGATGTCCTTCTGCAGCGCCTCACGGATCATCTGTCAGAAACACGGCAACGACTGAACACATCTGCTCCTCTAATTAGCCCCATGTGATGAGCGTCATGGTGACAGATTGTTGGCAAGGGTTGGCCACAGACGACAATGTGTCTGAGCTCTGCAGGTTCATAAATTTATTCCGCCTGGGGTTTCCTTCAGTGCAACATTATGTTCATTCTGTAACATGTTAGTACTGAGAAACGAATTCCATAATGAACACTTAAGGAGCAGAAAAAAATGCAACTGACAACTTGAATACAGAAAGCAGCACTATCTGCACCTTTTAAAGAGAAAGCCTTAGATAAATTGAATTTTATCGCAGAACTTCACTAAATTCTCTAGAAGAAAACCAGGCCCACAGCATCACAGATCCTTTACATTACAAAACAGAGAGCATTGGGCCTGTGGGAGTGTGAAAGTCTCCAGTAACATAACTCCAGAGGTAATCAGGAAACTCCACATGTTTACATTTGAGATGATGAGACAGAAAAGCCTTTTTCCTGGCACGCTTCCCAAACAAATGATTGCTATGGAGACCCCAGGACGCCACTCTTAGCAGTTCTCCAGCATCAAGATTAACACCGTCTTCACTAAATCTAGCTGACAATGATGAGCTCCAAAGCACCCTAACCCTAACCCTTTGCAGAAAGATTCGAAGCAAACAAAACGTTTTGTTTTGTTTTGCTTCTCGGTGTGCAATAAAACGATGAGCTGGTTTAACATCATGCATTTCCAATCAGTGGTTTTATACTTAATGTTTAATTATCTAATTATTTTCGAATAATTATATGAAATAGACATGTAAAGACACAAAACAAAGAGACATACTCTGTTTATCCCTCCTTAGAATAAAATTAGACTACAGTTTTCATGCTTTATGTCAAATGGTATTGCTCAAATTATTTCTATCAATTGAATGTCAGAATTATAAGAGATAATTAAATATTATTTTCTTAAATTACCATATGGAAGAACTGCCTTTTAAACTGTATGATTTTTGGTTTAAAAGTTTTCCTTCACCAAGCTTATCACAATAATTTCCTGGGGTTTTGAACCAATCCTCCTGACAGAACTGGTCTGTTTGAGACAAATTTTTCTTCTCATTTGCTCTTTTTTAGCAAAAGTGACTAAAATAAAGTAGAATAAAAACAACAGGTTTCTGAAGCCACTTTCTTAAAGAAAGGGCAATGATTAGACTTTACTGGTGAGACACTATGTTGGAAGACTTTCTGGTAAAATCAATAAAACTGGTTATGTGTGAATTAAATTATTATGCCCATTAATAGTTTGCTTACCTTTCCTGCCCGTTTGGTGACATCTAAACAGAAGTCCATACATTCCTGCCAAGGATCGCTCATGTTCATAGAGAGGAGCGAAGAATAAAGATTAAGATACCTGGAAGATAAAGGAAGCCTTTACTAAAACACAGTAGCATCCAGTCCGTCTGGTTAACTGTCCTTTAAGACAGCAACCGTAATATAAAACATTTTAAATGGGTTAACAACATGTTTTGAATAAAAAAGAGGGAAATATTAGTTATAGCAGAAGTTAGCTTTCTAAGATAGCTTGTAGCTTCACAGATTTAATGCAGGAAGATTCGATGTCATGTGCCAAAACACCGTCAGATAATTTCCGAAGCAATTGTGGATTTGATTTAATTTTGAGTGCACACTTTGAAGGATCTCAAGCTAATTTAACCAACCTGGAGAAAGAGAAACAGCCACAACATTGACGTTTAACCGGGGAGGCTGGAGTTTCCGTTTCTTTTTCTTCTTCTTGGCGGACTGAAAACAACTTCAGAGGTGCATACCGCCCCCTAGTGTACATAACTTTTACCTCATCGTTTCCACCCACTATATTCTTACATTGTCTCCTGTCGAAGTAATGAATGATTCTTTATTTATATTTCCTCTTGTTCTCTTTCTTATAGTTACATATTTAAAACACTTCATCAAATCATGATCAGAACTTTCTTTCTCCCCCGCAAATGTCACATGTGTTGTTTTCTTTTTCTTTATTATAAATAATTATTTTCATTATTACATCTTCCATTCTTCTTCTTTCTTCACAGCCAATTATTTGTGGTTACAGATTTTTGTATTCTACAGAATGTTTTCCTTTCTTATTTTTTTTCCTATTTTTTGCCATCTTTCTATTTCTTTTTCTTTACTAAAAGTGCTCAAATGCAGAAAAATCCTGATTTAAACCAACAGGTGGTAGCAGCATCCCTTTTAGCAGCAACAAAGTAATTACAGTAGACATACATCAAACTTCAATCATACATTATAAATATCTTAAATGTAATGCAAAGTCACCATAACCAATCCTGTAATCAGTTTAATCTTAATTCAGACAACTGTCAAAATCAGACATTCTATGGTATATAATATCCTTTAGTTTATTTTAGAGATGCACTGAAAAATGAAATCAGAATGTGTTTGGTATTAAGATCAGTTAGTAAAAGATAATCAGTATTTATAAAATTAGAGGAAATCGTAACTGGTAAGTTGCAGATTGCCATCTCTAAATTCAGAAAAAGTCATCCCTAAGTTGTAGAAATGTATGAAGTATATGTAGCATGTATGTATTGTTACCAATGTTGGTTCTATTATTTTGAATCAAAATTAGCAACACTATTACATTTCAATTTTCAGACTCAGAGAAATTGACGTTGAGAACTTTAATTGTATAGAACTGATTTTTTCAGCAGAGAAAAACTAGCAAAATTGAACTGATTGGATATTTTTCCCATAATAAAATTCTTGAGGACTTTGTGTAAATTATCTCCCAAATTACTGTGCAAATTTTCAGAGTACAGCAGAGACGTTGTTTGGGAGATTCCTACCAGCATCCTAATAGGAGTCATGTGGATCTTCTTTTGGAAAATGGGGGTGGAGAAAAAATACGTTTTTCAAGAACGCCTTGGTCATACCAAGGAGACGTGTTTGTTAACCAGCGAAAACAACCTCAACAACTCTTAGTCCCATAAGGAAACTGTTGGATGCATGGAACTATCGGACATACCAGTAAGCTGGAAATCAAGAACCAACTGCTTCCCATTTCAATTGTGGGAGTGTTTTGCAGGCCATTACTAGGAAATGGAAGGTGGTAAGCTTGACATTTTTCCAGAAATTTTATACACAATATTCTTAACTTCATGTACTTTGAGGAAGAAAAAGGTTTATAAAAATGTATTTCTGTAACCTGCTCTTTCATTCATTTGAAGTCTTTTTAAGTGCTTGACACGCTGGTGGTTTTGTTAGAGCTGGACTAATAAAACTTACCTTTTGCACTTAATGAGTGCAAAATGTACAACAAAGTAGTTGAAAACTGTCAGCAGTCCAAAAATAATTATTATATGTCAGCCAACAACAGACATCTTTTGAGTCTTCAGAATTAAATGTTGTACTTTTCAGCTACATTCTGTAATAGCCTCCTTTTTAGCACATAATTGCAAGTTAAAACATGTTTCTTTTTAAGAACTACGGTGTGATCAAGGTTTCCACGATCATGTCTTCCTTTAAATCGGCTTGCTCCGTAATGGTCACTATATGTAAGTAATTCTCTTCAAAGTTCTCGTGACATTCTTTCATGAACTCAACCACTCCTAAATGATACTGTCTTTTTTTTTCTTTGACCTTTGTGCCTGACTCAAAGGGATTATTGTGCCTCAGCTCTGCCTCTGTCCAGTACGAGCCACTTTTGGGACAACTCCAAACATTAAGCACATTGTGATAGGAAGATGCTTCACTTACACCACACTGGTTCAGCCTGGATTATGGTAATGTACCAATAAACAAATAGTGTAATGTATCTATAGACACATTATGTGCCTTGACAAAGAGCAAGACAGCTTTACTGAATTAATTTTGTTCTCAAGCCCAGAGAGAGAGCAGTCACATCTGCGGTTTGGCATCAGTAGATGTGACTTATTTAAACAATTCAATGCACGTGACAGGTGGCTTTACGATTTGACATTTAAATAATAGTTTTGAATGGGTTAAAATGTGAGGTTAGCTTCGATATGAAGAATGAAAGAGCTTGAAAAAGAAAGCAGTGATTAAAGTTGATGGATTTGTAGTAAGTCACTTACATGTCAGAAACTTTTCAGCTGAATCCACCAGCTTGAGTTTACAGACTTTTTATGAAGTTGCTTTTATTGTTGCATTTAAATGTCTCAAATTGTAAGATATTTTAATTACAAGATAACATGTGGAAATATGGAAAATGCTAAATATAATAAATGATTTTTTTAGTATTGAAAAAAAAAGAGATCAACCTATTAGCATCTCAATGAGATTATAATCCAAATTTGATTAAGCCACTCTAAAACCATAAAGATTGATTTTACTTAGACTATCTGTTGGAGTTATTTGGTTCATTGTCCCAAATGTTCTGGAGTGTAAATTCACCTTCTATTTGTGTCAAGAAGCTAAAAATAAGTGATTGGTTCTTAAACTCTGTGACCCAAAGATGACACACTTTCTTGTATATCTCTAACAATGAGCCTCCCTTGTCATCCTCTTAACTGTGACTTGTTTGTCATTACTCCAGTTGTTTTTAATTATTGCTTAGACACGTTTAAGCAGGTAGTTGTTATTTTTCTTGTATCCGTGTCCTTACAAGTAAAGATACAGAAGCCAGTGCCCTGCCTAAATGACATGTTCCTTTGTTCAGTTGACAAGCCATCAGTCACCCATACTCACTTTAAGCCCAGGAGGGTACGGCTCTAACCCTCATTGCTGGCAACCTGGCTGCTCACACAGAATAGGGAAGTTAGGTGGAAGGAAAAACTCAGAAAAATGTCCACAAGCAATGTGATATTCTAAGCCTCTTATAAGCTGAATTTGGGGGTATTTCTGACCCATAATCATTAAATTTAACAGTAGCTAAAACTGCTCAAATAAATTACTCTTTTGGTCAATTTCTAACATTTTACTGAACAATTGCAAGTCTTTTATCAGCAGTTATTTTTGTGATCAATTGTTTCATATTCAGGTGTGACTGTGAGGAAATCTGGAGGCAGTTTGAGAAGGCAGTTGTCCAGCATGACTCTTGTAATGTGACAGAAGAGCATTACTGTGAGATGTTTAACATGATGCCACAGGTCTGGCCATGTGATAGGGTGAGTGTTGAAACTGGAGTTTTAATAAATCAGTTCTGAAATCGCTTAGTGAGCAGTGGTTTCTTTTTATCTGTTCAGTTTCTTTTTTGGAGTAAAACCAGGAAGTTGGTGCACAGCTATGCGGCTGTTTTCCGGCATTTCTGGACACTGGAAGACACGTTGGTTGGTTTCCTGTTCAACGACCTGATCTGGTGTGGCCAGGAGGAAGACTCTGGTTGGTTGATCTTTATCTGCAATAAAGAAGAGTTTTTTTTAAAAAATCTATGAATACAAAATTATAATTTTGTCAAAATTCCATCACACCTAACCTTGAATATTAATGCATTTATTATGATTTTATAGCATAAACTAACACAATAATGTGCATATTTGGGTCGTGAAAAGGATGCACGTATTTCAGATATTTTAGAAATAAAAACCTGAAAACAGTGGATCAATTTTTACCACATAGACATTTAAAAACCACTGCAAGTTTCTGATCGTCCTGCTGGAAATTGAGACATTTTCTCTACACCCTATAACAGTTTTTGTTTTCTATACAATTATGTATCTAGCAGCATTTATCACATGTACTCGCTTCCCTTTCTTTGCAGAAAAAATCCCACATGTTGTCATTTCTGTGCTTTACAAGACTTTCTTTCACATGTCTGCTACGTGACCAGCTGCATACAGAATTTCTCATGGCTTTGTTTAGTCTCACTCCAGAATTTCAAAATATTTACAGTATTAATTTCAGCATCTGGTCAAACTGGATGATTTATCTCATTTGGTTCCTGCCCAGGCTCAAGTATTTCTTCTAGCACACCTTCAGTAATCTACTGCTGAGCCGTAAAAATGCTGAGGCTGGTGTACACCTATTTAGACTAATATTCCAAAGTGATTTATGTGTATTTTATTGAAATGTAACATAAATATAATTTATGTGATGCAGACTTCGATTTCAACTCTTGTCCAGCGTGGTCAACATGCAGAACCCATCCAGTTTACTCTTTATGGAAACGAGCCTCACAAAACGTAAAGTTTCTTTGTTCTTCAGCAATACAACTTTTCCTTCAGAGTCTTGCGTGCAAATTTGCTCTCACTGGGTTCTCATTTCTTAGTTTGCAGAGATGGCGTGTGGGAACATTACCGTGTTGCTGAATGGGTCTATCACTAATGCATTCAACAGGAAGAGGTAAGATGATGAGAGTAAATTACTGAAAACGTGTTCAAAACTCAACTGTTTGACTTTTTTTTTCATAGCATGTTTGGAAGCGTTGAACTGGACAGCCTGAATCCTCAGAGAGTGAACTACGTTAACATAAAGGTGGTGACAAATCCAGAGGGACCTCACATGTAAGCACAAAATCTACACTTTTCTTTAAAAATATTGCCTCGAGCACATTGCTATGATAAAGAGCGTTTTTGGCTGCAACATGCACCAATTGACCACGTTAAGAGGTGATGATTTGGTGCAGATGTTCCAGCAGAAATAAAAGAGAAGTTATTGGCAGACACCAGAGATATAATGCAATGGTTTGGATCAAAACATATTTGTGCCTTAAAATGGTTCAGCTAAAGTCCAGTCAAACTGGTTGAGACAACTTAAAAATATGCTAGTAGCAGATGGTATCTATTTAGTATGATTCAGAGGGAATAAATTAATACATATCACATTTTCTGATTCTTATTTGCAAAATTTTAAAAACCCATTTTTCCTTCTAGTTTACAATTATGTCTGGCCTTACACATAATAAAGCAAACTACAATGTAATTTGTGTTTTTAATGTGACAAATTGTGAGGAGCAGCACCGCATGCTCATTTTTCACCGGCAGAAGTAAAACGCAAAAAGACAAACACACTAAATTGAGACAGTTTCTAAGTTTCTTAGTTTTTTTTTTATGGTTTGCCAGAAGAGTCAAAGGCAATGACAAAAGTTTCTTTACACCACACTTCAGTAGCAGATTTCCATGAAGTTCATCTCCTCTGTCACACTCTGTGAATTTCAGGGTCTGTTAATCTGATTTAATTGATGTGGCAGTCTGATAAGAACACACATAAGTAACATCATTGTGCAATGTCAGAACATTATCACCTACACAGCAAATTTAATCTAAGTTTATTTTCACCATTTCTTTATTATAATTAGCTACTTACTAAAATATTTCAAACTATTGTGTTATTTGGCTTTCCTGCAGAGAATCATGCCGTCAAGGATCTATCGTAGAGCTCATCCAAATACTCTGGTCACGAGGTTTCCGATGGACCTGTACCGATACTGACCTGTAAGTGACATTTGAAGACTTTTCATCATTGTGCAATTTTGGAAGATTGCTTGGGAGGAACTGATTTTTTTTAAAAATCTTTATTGTGAATATTATGAAGCATCTACTTTAAGTAGAGTGTATATGTGTTGCGATAAAGTCGTAGCTTTGTAAAGAGTGAGGTTAGGGATACTTTTTGCCTTTTCAAAAGATTATAATTTTGCATCTCAAGTCTTTTCTTGGGACCATTTTGACCCTGTGACTGATCTACATCGGTGGAAATATGTTTCTCTAAGGATTTTGACCCAAACTGTCAGCTGTGAGAAACTAAATTAACCATTTTTTGTTTCCACAGGACCTTGGTGATCCTTCAGTGTGTCCAGGACCTAAATCAGCCCAAATGCCAGATGTTGACAAGCAGCATGTTGCAGCAAAAGTACTATACATCCACATGAATCATATTTTGAAACCATGAAATATGTCTGCCTGGTAGTGAAACTAAGTTAATGGTTAACATTTTCTTTCCAAACCTTCCAGAGATGGAAAAGGGGCAGGATTAAAAAAGTTTAAACTTCTGCCTGCCTCTTTTTCAAACAAATACTCATCAAAATATGTATATAGATTTTTGTATCAATGTTTGGTGTTTAAGCTCTCCCTTATGTTTAACATTTGCTGGAAGAAGTGGGTCTTTTTTAGCTAACACATGCACACAGATGCAGCTTACGCGCATAACTGCTGAATATCAGAGGTTTCAGGCGCAACAATACTCTGGTATTTAAATTGTGAATATGAATATGTTTGAAATAAATAAACTAAACAAAAACAAATCAAACATTTGATGTGCATTCATAACAATCAGGACATGATTTAGTAATCAGAGTCAGATGGCTAACTGAGTTAACCTGATTTCAAAATGGTTCTGCAGACCTAAGTGTTTTCATTTAATACTTGTGTATTTCCACAGTGTTTTTCAGTCTTATGAACACTTTTTAAAAATAAAGTCTAGAGCTGTAACACACCTACGCAAACATAATGCTTGAATGCATGTGAACAATGTTCGTCTGAACTGTTCACCTCGAACTTGAATCGAAACCACAACTAGAAGTTCAATATTTAACTTGCAACCACCATTGTACTTGTTCTCCATTTTAAGCTGCCAATGAGTTATGTGAAAAAACAGCAGTTTTGCCTTTCATCCTTAATAAGACTATTTTCTACACAAGCTGCTGTTTTTAAGAAATTCCATGTATTTCATCACACTGTCATTTTCAAAGCACAGCTTAAGAGATTCACAGCCTTCTGTTTGATTCAAGATGAAACAAGTTTGGGCTTGAACATCTGTTTTTTTATTCAAAACTCCACAGTTGTGAGGATACAGATGTGCGTGCGATGAACGGCGTCAACCTTAAGCAGCATTATCTGTTCATACTTCTGATTATTGATTATTTATTCTGTATTCCTCAGTTTCTTTTTCTTTGTTTCTTTTCAGGCAGCTCTTAGGTACTTAAGATTATGTTTATTATTCATTGAGTTTCTCTGAGATTCATTTTCGTAGTTTCTCTGTTTGTTTACTCACCCTGGCCCTCTTGTGCCATCTGCTCTCTCCCATCACACCTGTAACCTGTTAACCAATCATTCTGGTTTATTCTTCCAGTTTACTCATTCAGTATTTAACTTCTTCTCCTTCATTCATTCCTCACTGGTTCCTCCTGTTATATCCCCATTTTATTTCCTCCATGTGCCTGGTTAATTTTTGTTCCTGTCCTTTCTCTGTGTCCTTATGACAGTTTTGCAAGTTCTTGTTGACAAAACTTTCATTAAATTTGAACATTTCTGGATTTCCATCAACCTTCAACCAGCATGGCTTTATCCACACATAATGGAGGATGAAATTGGGGCTTTTGAAAGGCTGGCAGTTGCAAGTCCATATATGTTCTGTATATGCTAGGAATATGACACAGGTTACTGTAGATGCTTTCATCTATTGCTTTCTCGTACAATTGCACTACGCTGCCACCCAGCTTTATTCCTTCCATGACGTGCCACCCAACCCAACCGTCTATCCAAGTCACCAAAATGAATGTTTAACCTGATTGTTTAACCAGATTTAATCTGGCCCCAGATTAAGACTGGTCCAGACCAAATTTTAGAAATTTTACTGACAGATTATGCCATGCTCATAGGTCAGGCTGCCTATGAGTCAAAAGCTCAAAAGTCTCACTATACCTTGGAGATAGTTTAAGTGTCTTTACAGTGATAGGGGGGAATGACTACCTGCATGTTGCTGCAAATGACATTCAGGAGCAAGATGAATAGTTTTCCCTCCTTTTGTTAATGAAATCACATTTTATTATGTATTGATTCACTTAATATTTGCCTTATTTAGAACCTATTTCCCACAAATTTAACTCAGAGTGAATGAATTTGTACATGGATGAAGTAACTTCTAGAATACTATATTCTAGATCTAAACCAGTGGCTTGGGGTCCCCCAGTGCGCCTGCAAAGTCCGCATAGTGCAGGAATCTGCTCTAGTAAATCCCGCAGTCCTAGGAGTTCTCTTCACTTGCGTCACGTCACGGTTGTTCACGCGCGGGGCGCGCCTATAAATAAACATCCTGACCGCGAGTCAAGCAGAAGTGACAACAAACGAGCAGAGAAGTGACCCCCCTGCGCTACTTTGTGACGCTCCCACGGGGTCGAAGACATGGAGAGCGGGGAGATTCACGGCTCGGACAAGAAGCGCAGAAGACGCTGCTTCATTCTGGCTGTGGCCGCGGTGGCCCTTCTGCTGATTGTCGTCGCTGTTGTGTTAGGGGTGACCCTAAGTCAGGGAAGAGAAGAGTTTAAAGACACGTTCCTGGAGAGATGTCAGAAGTTCAAAGGGTGAGTGTTGCTATTTTTAAGCGCTTCAGGACGCTCAGCTCAGCAACAACTTCAGACGCTGAAAAAAAACTTGCTAATATGACTTCAAATCATTCAACAGGAATGATTGAATGGGTCAGGGTCACGTTATTTAAAGCATGAGCGGTTTCTGCTGATGCATCATTTAAACATCTTGCATCTCTGCAGAAACGGAGCGACTTCTCACGTTCATGAAGAAAAGGCTCCTTTGAACATCTAAATCTTCATATGTATGAATTTACACACAAATTGAACCATTCCATTTGTTATGCCAACAATATACACGATTATATTTAAAGGCATATTTTTATATATGGATTTTCATTGAAGGTTTTTGCAGCTTGCACTGCAGTATTGAAGTGATCAATAATTACTGATTAAACACATATCTGGTCATGAACAGCAGCATATTGCAAAAATCAAACAGTGAAATCGACCTTTTTTTGGTATCAGCAAAGGTCTGATTTTTAAGTTCAAGATTTATTTCACTTGTTATCAACCTAGGTCATTATGACTAAGTTGATGCACTCATCAGGCTTTTCCTGTTAACTATTGATTTTGTGTTTTCTGACATTCTGATTCTAGCTTTTCCTGAAGGAAAATAAGACCTAAAACAACGGGCTGTTTGAATCCAAAAGAAAAATGCAAAAAATTGCAAAATGTTCAATAATTTTGTACCAAAATGTATGTTCAAAATCTCAGTTCTTGCATTGATAAACAGAAAATGTTGAGTGTTCCTAGTTTTGATGCAAAGTCACCTGTATAAAACAAGCTGGTCCAAACAGCTGTAGAGAAATTTAAAGGATTAGGTTTTAAATGTTGAAGGGCGCGGCAGTGACCCATTGAGTGATGATGCCTTGGTCATCAGTGCGGCCGTTGACCTTTGCCATATGTCTTCCTCCTCTGTCACAACCCAGTTTCCTGTGGATCTGCTGTAAAATAAAGGTCACTAGAAAAAAAAAGTCTGCATACTCAGACTGAAATGAAATTTGTGATGTTGGCATTGTTATTGCACAATGTGATGACTTTCACCTGTCGGTGTTATTCTCCGCTCCCCACATATTTGAGCCAATCAGTCAAGCTCTACACAAACGCCTTCCTGGAAAAGCGAGAACAAGAAGAAAGAAGTACAATTTGCAGTTGGATACAAGCTAGAGAGTGGACTCAGTTGGCAAAGGTGTTCTGGTCAATTGTAACATGGTAATATCAACTTTTTCTGAAAACTAGCTGATGTAGCTAGTTTTCAGAAAACTAGCTGGTCTAGCTAGTTTTCAGGAAAAGCTTTCCTGGAAATTTTTAGATTATAAAAATCTGAACACAATTAGTATTTGTTTTTTTACGACCCAACAGTTTAAAAACAATTGTTTTTAGATAAAGTAGAGAACAGTCCTGTAAATGCACATTGAACTTCAGCATTTTATTAACTGAAAAAAATTGGAGAGTGTAATCTAGTACACTATAGGAGCACTGTACAAAAGAATAAAATCATTTTCATATTTTTGTTTGGAAACACGGAAATTCTCATTGCAATGCCTGTTGACAAACGTCATCTCCACAACATTTCAAAGCCTAACTCTGACCTTTCCCTTTCAGGTATAACTGTGAACACATTTGGGAATTGTTTCAGCAAGCCTACGTGAACCAAGATCCTTGTGAAGTTCCCCCAAACGCCTACGATGCCCTGATTGCTGCAACTCCCTTGGAATCTTCATGCAACAGAGTAAAACTGATAAAAATCGTGTATCTTAATTCTGCTTGTTCCGAATTATGCCACGTGTTGTGATTGCATTGTGTTGATTGTGTTTCGGGATAGCTGTTGTTCTGGAGCAAAACAAGGGACGTGGTCCAAGACTTCGCAAGGAAGAACGACTGTTTTCAGGCTGTGGAGGAAACCCTGCTGGGATCAGTCCTGAACAGCTTGACCTGGTGTGGAAAGAAGGGCAGCAAGGGTAAGAAAAGTATTTTTTTTTACCTTGGTGAGCGCTTGATTTACTTGTACAAAGATCCACTGAGCAGGTTCTGGCATGTTATTTGTTTGTTTTGTCAGACAAAATGGAAGCTAACATTTCAACTATGGTCTTAACTGAAACATTAAGTTGTTTTAAAAGCATTACTTATGCTTTGATAATCTCCATACTCTTCAACAATATGACAGCAAGAAAAATAAACAAATATTTGATATATGGTTAATTATTATTATTTTTAATTACATGTGTTTTGTTAATCTCTCTTATTTATTTAACAAAGTTGAACATCGTGTGAAATCTGTATTTATACATGAAGTTATTTTTTGTTTTCCACTCATTAACTATCAATTGAGCTATTAGGTAGAGTTACAAATGGTTTTGTTCATATATTTATGGTAAATATGAGAAATCCTCTGGAGTACTTTGGGAGCCTGAAATTATTTTAATTTTTTTTCCATTTAATTCTTCAACTACAACTCATTAATGCAGTGTTTGGACATCACAACTTTCAGTTCACTTTTTATGTGAGAACTTGACGGTCTTGGTTGTGTTGTTATAGAAACGTTTACCACTGACTGCCCTGAATGGCTAGACTGTGAGAACAATCCTCCTCGCTCTTTCTGGAAAAGAGTCTCCGCTGCGGTGAGTCAAGAAGACCGAGCTACGTGCTTTTTCACTCCAGGAAATAACACGGCTGTGAGTTTGGGCCATGAAAGGTTAACAACTCCACGTGGCTTTGCAGTTCTGATAACAATGTAGAGGAGAAGAGAAAAAAGTCTTTATCAATGAGGCTTTGTCTGGATCTCCATGGAGCCACATTGCACTGCTCCCTCCTGGGAAAGCAGCAGCAGCCCACACATTCAGAGGAGGCCGCTTCTCGGTTCAGCTGCAGAGACGCAAAATAAATCAACCTCAGAAAATGTGCATAAATTAACACCCTATTCACATGTAACTGCTGCTTTTTACACAGTAGTTTTGAAGAAAAACTAATAACTAGAATAAGATTACATTTAGATTGTGGAAGAATATTTTATAGAAACTAAAATGCAGTGACAGAGAAATCAACTGTTAAAGATTTTATCACAGTTGAGTTTCATTTCTGTAAAAGTCTAGTTCTTTTCAGTCTTTTGAATGTTTTCTTCTTTATTTAAATATGTTACATAAATGTGGTCCTTTATAGGTTTGTTTGCATTTATTTATTTACCTATTTGATTATGTTTTTTATTTAAAACTCTCCCATTGGTCATGCCAAGATCTTTCTGACAATGGCAATATTTTGACTACTAATCAGGATTTTATTTATTTTTACATTTCATTAAAATATAGTGAAAGAAATATAATGAAACATGTTGCATTAATCGTTAGACTTTAACTTTATGTTTCTTGAAAAGAGAGAGATGAAACGCTTATACCACTTTTCATTCATTGCTATAATACTTCAGAAATTGCCAAAAAAGCACTTCTACAAGAAGAATAAAACAGTCCAGCACTGCTGTTTTATTCATAATAGCACCATGAAGAGGGTTTGATGCATAAATCTAATGTATATTTTGTGTGCAGTTTGGAGACGCTGCCTGTGGAAACGCCACCGCGATGCTAAACGGTTCCATCACAGTGCCATTCGATTCAAACAGGTGGGTTTGACTTATCTCAAGAACACTATGAGAACCAGAGCAACTCTAAGGACCCACAGACTGAAACTTATCAATGTAGTTTAACAATTGAGGTTTAGGGTTTGGGGTAGTTTTGGCATCCAGACAAGAAAGTACACAATAAAAAACCCAGAGTACCATGAGGGGTTAAAAACTGTGCTTGCAGCCAGATTATTCCACTCATTCATCACAGTCCAAGCTTTGAAAGTGTTGCTCTATTTTTTTTGGTCAAAAACTCTTAAAAGCAAAAGATATTTTTTTACATTTTACAACTCTGCATGCACTTTTAGCATATAAATGTAATCAGATGTTCATCTGGCTTTTAAGGGTAATTGTTTTCTGTTGGTTTCTGCTTTAAATGCTGCTCAAAAACTTAAATTAATTCTCTTTTACTTTTGTTTTCAGTATTTTTGGCAGCATTGAGGTGAAGAGGTTTAAGTCTCCCAGGGTGAAAAACCTGAATGTTGTTCTGGTCATCGAGAAGAACTCTGTGTAAGTTTCATCAAATTTAGCTGTCTGATTTAATTAGCAGAAATGGAGGAAAAAAACATCTTTCCGTGTTTTACTTTCTCAGAACAAACTGCACAAATCCATCTTTACAAAACTTGGTGATGGTGTTGGACAAAGGGATCAGTTATAACTGCTTGGAAGTGCCGAGGTGAGTAAAATATGAGTAACATGAACGGATGAAACATTGTTATTATGTCTTCTCATGCCTTGTTGGTTTTTCTGTCCAAGGTCTCAAATCAAGGAGTGTGGCTCCGACCCGGAGAAACCCTGTGGAGCCTGTTGGTGGCAATGAAAGAACCAACAGATGGAACTATTTTAAGCCAGTCTTAACAATCTTTTAATATTTGTCGGTCAGTATAACACAAATCATGTTTTTTTATTATCAAGGGTGTAATTAGGGAATTATTATTATTTTATGTCCTGTAGTGTTAAATAAAAATGCTGCTATATGTGTTCAAGTAAGGAGCAGTTCATAGATGCATCCAACTCGCGTATGTTGGAAAAAAACTGATTTATTGTAAAATAAAGGTCATACGTGTCAGTAAAAGTGAAATTTGTTCATTTTCTTGGGGTTTTTGTCATGGTTCATGACTTTTGAAATGTCACTAGATGTTTTTGTTTGTTTGTTGATGATAAGAAGGGCTGGTTCGGTTCGGAAGATACTTGAATAATCTGAATTAAATCAGAAATTGATTTCCCTTTGGGGTTTGGAGTATTTCTGACTTGAATTGTTTTTGTTATTCAATTTGGGAGATTTGTTCTTTATCCTTTCACAGCCACCAGAGGTCCTTGTTTGGCTTGTTTTTGGGTGTGGCTCATGTCATTGCCTGAATGTATTGGGTTTTCTTCTTTCAAGATAGATTTAGGACTTTATTTTGGATTATTCTTTATGCTAAGCATTTAATTTGTCAGGTTTTTAGTACATCTGAATTGCTCTGATGCATGAGCATCAAAATAAAGTAGTAAAAACTACAAAAATTATATATTAACATTTATGAAAGATTATGTTAAAATGCGACATGTTTTGTTAGCAGGTAACAAATGTGCAAGCCTTGCATTATCATCCTGTTGCAGAATTTCTAAGTGAACATTTTATAAAAAATTTATTATTTTGACTTTCTCCCAACTTTTTCAATTTTTTAATGTTTCTTCTCTACCGGAAAACAAATCATTTAAAGGTGAAATAAAATTTTAGAAAACATCAACAAACAGGTTACATCAGTGTGAATACTTTCATAATAATTTAAATAATTTGCGAGCACATCTTTTTATTTCTGTCTTATCTTCCAGGCTTTCTAAGACGTCCATCACTGTGCTCTCATGAAGTCAATATGTTTTATTGGGATATGTTTGTGGACTCTCAGTGATGCAGAAAAATAAAATCTATCTTCAGCTTTGAATGTGGTCTTAAATTTTCTTCCCACGATTGAATGTCAGAACAAAAGACCCCTCAGTTTGGAATCAAAGGCTACGTTCACTCCCACATTCTTTTAATAGCAATTATATTAGCAGGAGTTTTATAAAATAACAGTTATTTAAACTCCTTTGCTTGCATTTAGTTATAAAAATGCTAATTTGATAAAGGTGTATGGGTTAATCCCTTTGTTTCAAACCTCTGATAGCACAGGGTTAATATAAACAACCTTTGACCTCAGGAAATGTGCAAGTGATTGTGCTCCAGGTTTCTTTTAAGTCGCCGCTCTGCAGAATAATTGCATTCCACTTAAAAGACGTTAGTAAGAGAGCAGCTTCTGCAATGGGGTTAAAAACAAACCTGGCTATAGCCGCTGGTCTCCTTCTTTTGGCTGTTGTAGTTGTGGTTCCTCCAGCAACTCTCCTTTCTCCTCGAACGTCACAGTTCAGGGCAACATTCAGGCAGAAATGTCAGGCTTTCCCAGAAACCAGGGAAAGGTAAAACCTCTCTTCAGTTTTTAAAAATGCATGCAAAGCAAAGTTGCAGTGTTGTTTGGTTCTGCTTTGGTTTTCAGATGTGAACAGTTATTAAGTATGTTTGAGGAAGCCTATGTGGGACAAGATCCATGTAACTTTCCAGATGAAACTTACCATCCGCTCTTTGTGGAGAGTCCCTTCACACATTCATGTGACAAGGTAATTGATTCTGGTTATAGTGCAGAACATCCAGGCATAATTTACAAGTTTTGACTATCTTATCTCCTTGTTTCAGACAATGTTCTGGAGCGACACAAAAGATCTGGTGCATCAGTTCTGCAAGGGGAGGAATCATTTCATCTCCCTGGAGAACACGTTGTTAGGGAACATCATGGATGGCCTGACATGGTGTGGAAAGAAGAGCAGCAAAGGCAAGAACATCTACAGTAGTCCACAATATCCTTCAACTGCTGCACGAGAGCTCACAGATAACATTGTGTCCTGTTTTGGTCGTAGACACATTCTTCTATTTGTGTGAAAAGTGTGACATCAACACAGTGTCTTCATTCTGGGTCAGAGCCTCTGCAGAGGTGAGTACTCCCAAAAAATGACTGACCAAAAATGTAGAAATGCTTCCAAGTTGGATTAATCCTTCTTTCCTTCCTGGATAATTCTACAGTATTGTTTTTGTTTGTTTGTTTGTTCTTTTTTTTTTTTTTTTTTACAAAAAAATAAGTTATAGTTATATTTATATATAACCTCAACCCAATGATCATCATGTGTCTGGTGGTTTCTCACACACTGTAGATTTCTGTCACATTCACTAAATTTGATTATTATTGAAAAGTGTATTTATTTCATTAAATCATTCTGTAGATTAATTACACACAGACTTATGTTTTTAAGTGTTTATTACTGATATTTATGGTAATTTTAATTACTGTGAAAATAAACATGACATTTGAAGTTAGAATATTAAATCAGACTGGTAAACACTTTTAACAAGTACATCTAATGCATGCTTAAAACCAGATGCATTTTTAATCTGACGATCTTCCTTATTGATTTTTTTAATTTTTATTCACTGTTTGTACAGTTTGCAGACTATGCTTGTGGAAATGCCAGTGTTCTGCTAAATGCAGCAATAAGCAAACCATTTGATCCCACCAGGTAAGCGCGGTGTGTAGTGACACAATGTCAGAGAAATTAAATGCTTATCAGGTATAGTGGAACTTTTTATCTGGCTACCAGATGTACCCTATCAACGTTCAACAATTTTCAGCAAATATTTTCTTTCAAAGGAGAGTGGCTTTAAAGTTCCTAAATGCGCCAAACATCTAAAGCATGAATGTCTACATTGTTGCACCATTTGTAGCACCTGTGATAGAATTAGTACGTTTCTTATCATTCTTACATTCGTAGTTTTACTAGTTTGTTTTTCTTTAAACCGTGTAAAAGACAAAACTTGCTTTTTCTTAACCTTGCAACTGTTTCCCTTTCTCCTCCTTCCTTGTGAAACTACCTGTGTGTAGGATGTTAGTTCCTGTGTTCCTCCTTTGATTCATTCCCCCCCACATTTCTTTCACTCCTTCTTTGCTTTGTGTCAATGAAAAGACAAGCGCTGAAGCAGAGTCAGAACGCACTGTGAACTGGGAGAAGCCAGGTTGGCTTTGGCCAGGCTGGTTTCTGCCAGGCTGGCAGACTATGCCTTCCCCTTTTGCAAAAGGCTTGATGGAAAACTTATAAACATTGTCTGTGGTTCTCTTTTTATGCAGCTTGAGAAACCTTTCAGCCTGGAAGTTAGCATAAACTTTTTTTTTTTCTGCCAAAATTGCAATTCAAGTAAGGTGAAAGTTCAGTCTGCAATTGTAGATGGTTGGACGTAAACACACACAGAAGGAGTCATTTCCATTTCGAGGTCTGTTCAGATTGTGCATTAAACCACATGTCCTCTGAGTTTGATTGGTTTAGTGTTTGAGAAGGTTGCTGTTTGACCTCTGGATGCCTTTAATAAAAAAATCTGTTAACATACATACACACCCATTTATTTATGTACTTTTTTATTGATTTAAAGTATTTATTGAACACATCTTTATAGCGCAGATGTTTTATGTATTTCCTGTTTTTGTTGTTGTTGTTCCGCTAGTTACTTTGGAGCTGTTGAAGTTAGGAAACTCGCCTTTCCCAGAGTGCAGAGCCTGACTGTTATTCTTGTTATCAAGAATGATAAGTAAGATTTTCTTCCATATCTAGTTGTCTGCTGAACTTTATTTGTTCATTTGCTCTTTACTTTGTACAATTATTCTGAGTTTGTGTGTGATAGTTAAATACCTCTATGTGTATTTTACGCTGATAAAATACAGTGTGTAGTATGAAATGATAAATTATTTTATAACTAGTTTGAATGTGTAATAGTGATATTACAAGTCATATACAAAGTGTGACTTTTTCATTTGTGCTTTTCTTGTTTTCAGTGCAGATTGTAGCCATGAGTCTCTGCAGGTTTTACGAGACATTCTGGATCCAAGTATTACTCTCCACTGCCGTTCAGTTACTGAGTAAGTTCAACCTAAACATGTTGTACTGTAATCATTTTAATCAACACATGCCTTCATAGATTAATGTAACTATGTTGTATTTTGTCTTTTAACATAGATCCAAGATACTGGAGTGTGTAGAATCAGGTATAACCACTGATGCCTGTTGGACTCAAAACTACAACCTGTCAAGAAATATCTTAACAACTTAATTACATTTTGTATTACTATTCACAGTTTGTATTTTATAGGTATTGTTTTGTTTTACAAAATAGCTTATAATAGTGTATTCAAATTAAACCAGAATATTCAATGTGCCTTATTGGGATTTTAGGGTATAAACAAAGTTATTCCTCATTATGAGGTAGAGAGGAAACAAAGCAAGGGTATAAAGACTTTTTTTTGCAATTATTTTAAAATCAGCCCCTTTATACTGATAACTATAAATAAAATCCAGCACAACCAATTATCTTTAGATTGATGACAGAGTCCACTTATGTGTGCTTTAATCTCAAAATAAATCCAGCTGTGGAAGCTGGATGCAGCTAAATGCAGGATAATCCTGGTGGAAAACCTTTGAGAAGCTGGAAAAAGTATTGAAACTGTATTGAGATGAGGGTCAGCTTCCAGCAGGACAAACATATGACTATTATTTATGTGCCAATATAAACAGTTAATTAAAAAAGAAGTAATAAATAAATTGTATTGTCACGGTAGTACCACAAAATATCAGAATACAACTTTAAGTCCATCACCCAGGCCGAAAATACAGTTAATGGAGGTTCTGCAAAACATATATATAGAAAACTAGGTTTTTTATTGCTACATGTATTTTCTGTACAGTTTGTGGCAGCAGCAGAAAAATGATTCATTCATAATTTTTTCAAGGGACTAAAATGTAATCAAATTAAAATATTTCCATATAAAACATATTATTTTTATGGAGCATTTCTATTCTTTAACTATGGAGTAGAAATTTAATCAGTTTCTTACCAAGTTGCACTGATGTAAATGAATAAGCCAGACCTGATAAGTAATCTACAGTGGCAAGATATTGATTATTAATAAACCACTTTGACGTCCCGACAGTGAGTGTCTGCTTTCTTTCTTTGTTCTTGTGAAACAGCAACTTGACACCAATAAGGGTTGCAGGCTTGAGCGTATAAATATGTGTGAACCTGCTAAACCGCCAGAGAGACTAAAAAGTCTTCCAACAAACTCTCTGGTCCCACTCACTTCTGGGCTTCAATCCGTAGGCGTTGTCCACAAAAGGTCTCGCTCCGTTTCATGAGTAAACAAAAGGGAGCACCTGTTGTACAGTTGACAAGATCAAAACGAGTGCGAAGAGAAATGTGTGTGAGTCCTTCGCAGTGGGAGTGCTGCGGCAGGAAGGAGGAGGCTCACTGACATGGGCTGAACCTCCTCTTTCCTTTCTGGTGACTTGCTGGTGTGTCACACGTACCGTAAAAGGGGTCTGAGTCGGTGCTGGGAACAAACCTTCGGGGTTGTCGCTACCCAGGTGCAGCCTGAAGAAGGCCCCTTCATAAAAACCACAACATGGCCCTCTGTGATGTACTGTAATGTCGGTAAACACGGTCGCAGTTTGAGTCACTCATAAAGCAGCATTCATTTTAAATATATTTTTTTATGTTCTGCTTTTGAGACAATGGCAAAGTGCTGATGTGGCATTACTGAAAGTTCTGAGGTCATTTTTCAACATTTGTGAATATTTATTCTTACTGACATGAATCTGAACTTTATTTTTAGATCACTACTGTCTTCCTTTCTACATCCTCTTGTTTTACGAGCAAGAATTATTTATGTAGCTGGTTGGAAACGCTTTATGGCCTCTTTTAGGCACAGAGACGTGAACAAAAGCAGAAAATTTACTTCAGGTTAAGCCTGATCAGAATGACTGTGAGAGCGTCTCATACTTAAATCAAAAACAACCCAGAGCAAAGAGACTTCCAGTGATCTTTTTTACTTTGTCTCAAACCGAGAACCAGGAAGAGGTATTTCACCTATGAGGTTAGATTTCTTGGTGAATGTTGCGGATTTTCCAAAATGATCAAGCATTGAACCAGTGATCTGGACTGTTTGTAGCTTTCTCAGAAGAAAACAGAAAAATCTGCATGTTGGGGAGAGGGCGGCTGAAAGGAGGGTGAAAATACGATTTGCTTCACGTAGGAAGACATTTACACAAACACGAGCAGAAAGTCAGAAAATGAAAGAGAAACCCACAGCAGATGGGACGAGTTCACATTACAGACCTGAAGTTAAACGCTTTGATGAAAGGTTTTGGCACATTTTTAGGATTAGTTTTAAGAAGAATCAAAATAAGCGTCATTGGCCAAGATTATGTGTATAAAAAAGGAATAACATTATGTATAGTTAAGCCCGAATTTATTCACACAACTTACAGGTTTAGGTTTAAGCATTGAACCACTGATCTGGACTGTTTGTACTATTAATAATTTTAGTAAAATGGTTTTTTAAGGGTGTTTCAAAATGTTACACATTATCCTAAAATATTGCATTTGACTGTTTTGCCACATAGTTTTTGGGAAGTTATCAGAAATGTAATTTCTGAAAATGATAGATGTAGTTTCAAGGGTTGGTGGAAGTACACCAGTAACCGATACTGCCTGCTTATGCAAGTATGTTTTATTTTTAAAATAGGATATGTTGCTACATTGGTGTGTCAGCATGAATTACATGAGGACATTAAGGAAAATCTGAGACTTTTAATATTTCGTAAATGAATCTGTTAGAGCATACTGGAAATATTAGCCAACAGTAATTTGTTGAGTACATGCAAAACTGCATGTTTGCAAGGTTTCATGGGAAACTGTAAATGAAGAGTCAAAAATGCGTCTACTGACCTCATACAAGATAGGAATGTAAATTCACTGTATTAAGTAACTACAATTGTCTTACTAAGAAACAAAATTGTACTGTTGTAGTTTTAATGTACAGATGACACCAAATATTTACTATAAAAGCACATATAACCATTTCTTCTGACTTTAAAACATAATAAATCTTTTCTGTTTTAGGTCAGTCATTTGCTTTTGCTTATAAAGTTTCAGCAATAAAAACGAATCCTGAAAAAACTAAAGGCAATGGTTATCTCCACAGTTATCGGACGCTACAGTTTTGTCTGCACTTATTTTCCAAGCTGAACATTAGTCATTAGTGATGTTAACACCAAAGAGTTAGCATCCAAAACTTGCTTTTAAAAGAAAACACTGTTCAAGAAAATCTGAGTCAATCAGAAAGAAATTATTGATCCCTAAACATCCATTGGCAAACTTTCGTCTTTGCAGTAAATGGCAACCAGTCTTTCAGATTACTGTGGAAGAGTTTTGGCCCATTTTTCTGTCCCAAAATGTTTTATCCAAAACCTTTATGGTCTGACTTGGATTAATCCCCTGAATCATAACCCTTTCGTCGACTTTAACATGAGGTCATACCTCAACTTTTTACAGACCCGACAGATGCCAGTAACTTTGTTTCCCAGCTTCATTGAGTTTATTTAGATCAGGAAATGATTTGCTGAATTCTGAAAATGATTTATCCTACTTCATCTTATGAGAAGGGTACTATTTTAGGGGATTTTATTTTCATTCTACAGATGTATTGATAAAATCAACTACTGCTAAGGCCAACTTACTCTGGATTTCTTTTGTTTTTACCCTGATAAATAACATAAATTAATTTAAATATATATATTTTTGTATTTATCAAGATCTAAAATATTTAAGCGTGAGAGAAAAACAGAAGCAGTGTTCAAATGAGCCAATGCCTTTGAACATCCCTTTATTTATGTAGTTCTGCTAATTCACTTTTGAAAACACTGAATATTTCTGAACTGTTTTGTATTTTTCTTTTGTTTTCCAATTTGGCACAACTGGAAAGGAAGATGTTTCTCTTATTGCTGGAGTTTTTCTTGTTTGTCTCTTTTTTTTTTTTTTTTGACATTTTCAGAATAAATAAAACAAAAAATTCCTAAATGTGTTTAACCCATCCAGGTTGAGACGTTGGAATGTCTCAGCATAAAAGCTGGGGTATCCAGCAACATTGGTTTAAAACCCCTGCCAAAGCCTGACAAAAGTAATAAGAAATGAAAACTTCCACTCTAACCAAACGATGAAAACAAACACACACTCTAACACGGCATTATGTGTGTTTCTAAGAGTTTTAATCCAGTATCCTTGGGAAAATACATATTTGGTTGCTTGTTTCGGTGAAAAAAACTCCAACCAAATGATGATGGTTCAGATAATTGATCCTATACTCTATCTGTCTGCACAATATAAAAGGGGGCCGCCTTTCTGTACGAAGGGCAATGAAAGGCCACGGATCCTCAGCTTATACATATTTCCACAAGCAATCGTAAAGAGCACCTATGGGTCCAGTCCCCAGCCACCGAGTTTACTGGAGCAGGAGCTTTGGCGTATTTTCCCCTCTTCTTCTTCCCTGAAACAAGGCTGCTCTGACTCAGCAACTTTGAGAACAGGCTGTGAGTTTAGATTATGCAATAAGATTAGCCTGAGCGACGTGTGATTTTTTTTCCCTTAACCCACCGCTCTGTAGTTTAGTTTTTTTGTTGGACAGTTTCATTTCAGTATTAGTGGCTCTGAAACGTTTTGTGTTGGCTGAGCAGCTGCAGTCAAACCACTCAGGAAGTCAAAAAGAAGAGCGCTGACATAGTTGACAACCTACTGTAAAAAATGGAGATGTTTACATGGGAGATGTGATTGTGAAAATAGATCTGCACTTGTGTTTTTTTTTTTTTTTTGTTTGTTTGTTTTTGTGGTTGTTTTGAAAATGATCTTTCTTGTTTTTAATGTTGAATCAGCCTCTTTTGACCTTTTAATCATTTTGCATTCATATCTGTATGGCACACTTTGTGCTCCCATAATAAGCAAAAATCTTACTGCTGCTATTTGGAAATAAATGGTGATTAAACATGGTTCCCATTTTTATGTTCAAGGTTGGAAGGAGAGAATCTACAATAGGATTATTTCTCTCTCTTGTCTGATTCTCACATTTGACCAGGTCAAACTTATGTGGAAGTTTTATCTAACCTCCTTCCCTTAGTTTACAAAAACCTTAGTTTCAAGGTTTTTGCAGCATCTGACAAGTTTTTTTTGTTGTTTGTTTTTGAAAGACTTCCCTGTGTTTACCTCAAGTAAAAATAAGCTAAAAATAGTTATTCCAACATCATGTTGCTGCCACCAACATGTTTTACTGAGGTGATCTGTACTCCTACATTTATGTCACGTGATCCTTTTGTGTGAAAACTACACATAAGTGCTTAAATAAAAGTGTGAATACAATTTTTTTCAAGAAAATTGCGTAAATTCAAAGCAAATGACAACCTGAACAGCTGCTTTCACACTACCATGAAAACCTGCGTGTTTTACTTACGTAACTTTTTGCAGTGTGACTGCAGACTTTTCTCTTACTCATCGATTAATACTGTAAACACTTGGCAAATTACCGCACGCGCAGTTTGTACTTTCCTTTCCTTCTCAAACTCTGTCAGCGACCGCTCGTGAGGGAACCCCGGCGCCGCTGATTGGACGCCGTCGGTTTTAACACGTCACAGGGCTGCAGAGTTAAATTTGCAGGGCAGAGGCGAGGCGCTAAAACAGACACCTGAACTGGTTGAAGACTCCTCGGGACTACAGCATGGTGAGTTAGTGCACTGTATCAGATGTAGAATTTATAGTAATCTGTATATTGTTCTTAATTTAATTATTTAAGCGTGATAAATATTTTAAAAAATCACAATAATATGATTTGTTCTTATATTTTTATATATATTTTTGTATAATTTTTTATTTATTATTACCTTGAATTTATGTAACATAAGTGCTGTGTATAGTAAACTCTTAAGGCTGAAATGGCTAAAAAGCTTAATTTCATTTAAAACACCAAATTTGAAAGAGATTATTTAGCGTTTAAAAACTATTCTGAGTGAGACAGACTGCGAAATAAGGGATGACTCAAAGCCTTTTGTAATGTCTAAATGGAAATATCTGAACTGCCACGATGAAGCAAACATGTGGGGGTGAGATAATGTTCTGTGGGTTTGAACCGGATCTTACTCTGAATCACGTTTGAGTTGGTTTTGCATCAGCAGCACCCTTGCAGGTTCTGCGGCTCATCTGTTGAAATGCTGAACTATGATTTACTGGATGTTGTTGAAACTAAACGCAAATGCATAACTTTGAATTTTCTGTAAATAGTAAAGTAGTAAAGATGATTATTTTATGTTCAGATCTTTATGTGATATTTCATCAGTTTGGATTTGCCTTATTTTGTATTCTTACAGTCTGTGCATAAAAACACGGAAGACAGTTCGCCTGTTAGGACGTCAGAGGCCACACAACACAAACAAACCCACAGACTGTATCCAACACTGCCAAATAGAAACAGGTGAGACTCTTTACATCACCTCCTGAAGCTGAAATGGCAGATTTATAGCTTTGAAACCAAATCATGTTCTTTTTTTTTTATTTCTCTAGGTTTGAGGTTTGCTTGCCACTCGGCTCCACTGGGGAAAAAAATTGCGCAGCTGCTGAGAGTCACAATGAGCAGAAAGACACACAGGTTGGTGAACGCGGTCACATTTTCAGTTTCATGATTCTCCCCTTCTGCAACATTACAGCAAAACTTCCCAAACTGTGTAAAAGGAAGTTTTATGTTGCACAAATGCCTCACTCGAGGATGCTGCATATTAATGCTTCCTCATTTTCTCTCATGGTTGTGATTCAGTCGGAAGAGCCGGTCAGCAGCTATTGCACCATGAAAGAACAGATTCTCATCTTGGAGCAGCAGAATAAAGAGGTGAACATTTCAGAATTGAGTTGGATCAACTCATGCATTAAGTTTTGTTGCTCACAGAGTTTCCTTTTTTTTCAGCTTCTTGCTATTAACAATAACTGGGCAAAAGAGTACAGAACAATGGTGGACTATTACAAGAAGAAGGTAAGGACCGCAAAGAGATTTTCTCATACAATACAAATCCACCTTTTGAACTTTTTGGGATTCTGCCCTTTTTTTATTTTCCTTTGGTTTTCGACATGTTATAGACACGAGAAATTGACTGGTGTGGTTTTAGAGCCATTGTTTTGCTGCAGTTACAGTTGTAAATCTTCTATCTCTGTCACCTTAGTTTTTCATTTTTGCCCATTCTCTGTGGCATAAGCAGCTGAAACTCAACCAGATTGAATGTGTCTGGAAACATCACTTTTCAAGTCGATTTGAACTTTGACTAGGCCGTTCCAACTCATAAATAGTCTTTGACCTGATTTGGATCTAGATGTTTGGGGGATTTTGTTCAGCTGGGCAACAAACAAACTAAGTTTTTTTTTTTTTTTTTTTTGGCAAGCTCTGCAAATTTTCTTCTTCCATGTAGGTAAAAAGTATTCCCACGGTTTGATGTTTCACCCTGTGGTTTGTGTGCTGAGCGGAATGTGAAATGTTTGTTTTGGGCCACATCTTGGGAATTTTGCATGCAGGCCAAGTGTTGGTGTCATCTAACCAGAGAACCATGTTCGCCATGTCTGCTGTGTTTCCCACATGGTTGTTGGAACTTCATGTTAGTTTCTTTCAACAATGGCTTTCTTCCATGAAGACTATATTTGTAGAGTAAATGAGAGATAGTTATCCTGTTGACAGATTACTTTACATTTGGATCTCTGCAGCTCCTCCACAGGTCACTTGGCTGCTTCGTTCAGCTTCTGTCCAGTCATGTTCAAACCTTATAACCCATCTGTGATATAACTTAACCCCAACTGCAGCAGCACATGTCCATGTTTATATAAATACCATGTATATTTTTCCTTCAACATAACAAACATGCACTACTTTGTGCTTTTTCTATAAAATTCCAGTAAATGTCAAAGCAGTTTGGTGCTGCAATATGATGAAATTAGAGAAGTTCCACACTTTACTTTTGATTTAATTTAAGGTTGTTTCAGCTTCATGGTCTGTACTTTATTCTCAGGTCCAGTTTTTAAAAGCATTAAAACAAGATGATGTCTCTGAAGAGGAGAGAAGTGATGAAGAAGAGAGGCCTGTCACATTCTGTAAAAAGGAAAAGGTCCATGAGGACACCCAGGTAAATACACCGGACAAGTTTTCAACATTTTAGTTTTTATTATTTCATTTCTAAGCTCTATCATTTTTTTAAAAAAAAATCCAGCCTGGAAAAGACAGAGTTCGAACCGAGTTACGGACTGCAGACGAGGAAATTGAAGAGCTGCGAGCGCAGAACAATACTCTGACCTGTAGGTGGCAGCATCAGCAGGAGGAGATCAAGAGGCTCAACAAGGTCAGAACTCAGTTTCAAACATTTCACTCCGTGATTCAGCACAGAGGCGTGTTTACCAGCCGTAACATCAGCTTCTCTGTGTCTCCCAAAGGCCTTAGAGGAAACTCTCCAGAAATATCAGGCTCTGAAGGACAGCAGTGAAACACTACCAAACATCTGGGAACATCAGGTGAGAAATGATCAATATGGGTAACCCCTGTTTGTATTGTTGCTTCCAAAAATCTAATTAAGATCTTCATAGACACACACTAGGCCGTTAAGTGTTTATAAATTAAAATCTTCATGTCAGGGAGGACAGAGTTACAGCTGCTACAACAGTTGCAACTCTGTTACAACAGCCTGAATCATCTCCAGTGATTTCCACTGATGTCCGGATATGTTGTCATTGTTGTCCGTTTTAGGCTGAAGTCTACAAGGAGGACTTTCTGAAAGAGCGCAAGGACCGGGAGAAGCTGAAGGGGGAAAATCTGGAACTGCAGAAGCGCTATAGAAAGGTTCATGACCAGCTGTGTGTCTTCAAATCCCAGGTACTTCAAACGAGCATTTTCCACCTTTAACTTTCCAAGTCGAACCCAACGGATGCTGACCTGGCGCCTTCGCTCTTCCAGGTGACTTTGGCACACTGCTGTTCCTGCACGAGTCGACCCAAACACCCAGACAGGGAGCAGCAGCACGTCCAGCAGCAGCACGTCCAGCAGCAGCACGTCCAGCAGCAGCACGTCCAGCAGCAGCGCCGCTACACTTTCCGCAGCAAAGACTGAATGAAACGTTTAGAGTTTGAACGATGATGTTTCGATGGATCTCAGTGGAGGAGGAGGATCTGACAGAAGAGCCTTCAGAAGGACAACCTGCAGCAGCTTCGTGTCACTGAAGACACAGAAAATGTTGTGCTGTCAAAACACTATGACGGATTCAGACTTCAAAGGAATGTTTTAAGGCATATTAATACTTATGCAAGAAAGGAAGGAATAGAACACAACCATAATTGTTTGCCTTATCTCACAAGTAAGGAAAAGAAGCTGAATCTATGCAGTAATTACAGCTTATAGCATCCGACTTCTTATACACTATTAATATTTAACCACTTTTAGGACCTTGCATTTTGCTTGTACAGACTGGAAAAAGACAAAAAAGAAACTCTAGGAAGTACCTGATGTAATTGTTTTTCAAGAAAAAATTTATTTTATACAGTATATTTATTTATTTAGGTTTGATGGATTTAATGGCAGTTGTATTTTCCATAGTTGTTTATTATGGAAAATATGATGAAAATATTATTTATGATGAAAATAAACTTTTCTTCACGTTTTGATTCTGCGTATCATTCGAGAAATACTGCTGCAGAATTTTGTCCCAAAAAAAAAGATTCACCCATTTATGCATGAACTATGATCCTTTGTGTCAGGATTTCTTTTTCATTTTTTTCTTATTTTCTTGAGACATAAAAAGAAGGTAGGCAAAAATTATTTTTTTTAGGTGATCAATTAGAATTTTCTCCAAATACAAAGTTGTTACATGAAAAATGCATCAGTAGTATTTACACACAATATTTTTTTTAACCTGCAACAGTCTTCTACAGTAGAAGGAGGGACAGGGTCGGTTGGAATGCCTTTTTGTCTGTCGGCCATATTGCATTTGACAAAAATCATTTCTTGCATTTGCAGCTGATGACCAGTAGTTGATAGTGTATTTTATGATGCATTAGTGTCCACTGCAGTTGTTTGTGTGCAATTATAACATAAAAATCCACAAGAAGCACAAGAAAATGGCTTTTAGACAGCTGTCCACTGCAGTGACCACTATGCATGAAAAGGTTACATTAAAATCATGAATTATGTGCATAGAACTAAAACACACATCAAGGTTGTTTTCAACTTATTAAAGTTCAGTTGAATGACCAAATAACAAGTTCATTTTTCTCTGTTCTTTAATCTTGTTTCTTAAGAAAGATACAAAGAAAACTGGACAACAGACAAGCAGGCAGTACCTTGCAAAAGCTTTTACAGTTCTTGAGCGAACCTCTAGTGACCTCTAGTGGTGAGTCTAAAGAAGTGACAGAAACGTCCAGATTTTGTTTTTCCAGTAAAAGATGTTCAGGGATAAAAATATTGCTAAAACCGAAATATTTTGGTCAAGATACTTTATCAGTTTATATTTGATTTAAAAAAAGAGAAAGTTTTAAAAAAGCTTTGGGAAGAACCGTCATGGTTACAGTTGTACCAGGAGTCCACAACCCTTAAACTTTTACACATCTTTTCACCAAATATTCTCAGTTACGACTCACACACAAGACAAATTTTTGGAAGAAATTTATTGGCACAGTTCTAGCAGCAATGTGTCCCTGTTCATTTCCGACTTTGGTCTCATAACATTGTGGTAAAATTCCTCTCATGCAACAGTAAACTATAATAAACACAAAAACTGTCAGTTTTGACACTTTGAACTCAGTTGAAATGATTGTCAGCGCAACAGCGTAAATGCATCTGCACAAAACACACAGAAATCAATACTTATGTTACTTTTTTGCTGCTTTTTGGCTACATTCTCAATGACTTACTTTGACACAGTGTGACTATGAAAAGAATATTGCATGATATTGCCTTAAATTGAATTCAATTTAAAGTAGAAATATATATTAAAAGGCTTTAAATGCAAACACAGCTGTACTCAGTGCTCAGTGTTGTTGCAATGCTAATTATGATGCTGGGGGGAGATGCCACAAAAGTCAAATACTGTACTTTTCTGCCTTTTCACAGATAAATATGTTAAATACATTCTGATGGAGATTTACCGGCACTGACTTATAAAGACAAACGCTAGCCAGATCGACCCGGCTCTCTGCGTCAGTAGAAAGCCGGGTTCGTGTGCTCGATGATGCAGCGGCGGCAGTGGCGCCGCACGAAGCGCAGAGCTTCTGGCGACACCTCGCAGTCCTGAACGTTGAGAAGCTGCAGCTCGCAGCAGTTAGCCGCCAGAGCTTTGAGCCCTCTGCCCGTCACGCTCTCGCAGGCCCGCAGGCTCACCCTCCTCAAGCCTTGGCAGTACATGGCCAGCTGCTCCAGCCCACTGTCCGACACCAGTGGGCATTTCCCCACATCCAGAGATTTCAGTTTGGGGCAACTCCTGGCCAGGTGACCCAGACCGTGATCCGTCAGCCCCTCGCAGCCCCTTGCGTTCAGGTAGCGCAGTCTGGGGCAATAGCGGGCCACGTAGCGGACGCCCACATCCGTGATTCGGGTGCAGTGGGCTACGCTCAGGTAGCGCAGGCAGCCCTCCAGGCGGGCCACCTCACGCAGGCCGAAATCCCCCACCAGGCGGCAGTCACTGAGACTCAGCTCCCGTATCGACGGGCAGTGGAGAGCGAGGTGGCGCAGGGCTTCGTCTGTCAGTCTGCTGCAGCGGCGCAGGTACAGGTGAGTGAGGCGAGGGCAGTGCGAGGCGATAGTTCGTAAACCCTCGTCCTCGAGCGAAAAGCAATCGGTCATGTCCAGGAAGTGGATGGAGATCTGCTGGCCATGCATGGGGGACAGCTGGAGTGAGGCCTCCTGGGTAAGGCTGATGCAGGTCACCTTGGAGCAACCTGGTCAGAACAATAAAAAATAAAAACTCAAGTGAGATAGACTGCCCGGGCATGAACTATACACCACCACATTAAATGCCTGAGGGAGTTCCACAGGGATCCACTTTGAACACTAGTTTATTTTGTCATTTTAAAAATGACTTCTAACTGGGATATAATTCATTTTCTCCCTTAGAAAATGAATTGAGCGAACCATAGAAGTTTAGAAGTCTGCCTAGTGGCCAACTATGGGAATGCACAGTAAATGAATGTACATTGGCAAGTTTTCATTTCTGTAAAAATTAGTCTGAAAAACTCAAAATGCCCATAATGAGGAAATAACAAGGTGTGGTTATTTTATCCCCATGCAATGTGTACTTGCTTTATGATTTTGATGTTGACAAAATGTAATGTTTATTGCTTGTTTTATACCTGGTGACTATATGATGTTTTTACAAAGTAAAGCACTTTGAACTCCCTTGCTGCTGAAATGTGCTACACAAATAAACTTGACCTTTTCTTTTCTAAATTGTGGTTTAATTAATTTGATTTCAATTCCTATTTTTCAAACCAAGTAGTTTTCTTAGTGCATGCTAGCATTACTATGCATTTGCTTTCATTTTCTCTGGCTTTCAACTGCAGCTCTCCTCAAGCACACAGACTCGGTGGTGATACAGTGGAAGGAACCCAAAACTTTGATGCTGATTTCATTTCAAAGTCTTGCCTATAGCTCTATTCATCCAGAAAGCATGAGTGGGAAACTTGAAAAAGACTTAATTCTTTGAAGATGCCCACTTGATCCACCACAGAATAAATTAAACTGATGCTTGGCAGTTATTTTTGAACAGAATGGGTCTGCGGGTTTTGTCTTGGATCACTTAACATTCAATCTGAGTCAGGAGGGAATCTCATAAAGGCTGCTAAGGATAGAGGGAATCATCACAGCAACCAAAATTGTGAGACAGGACTTTATTTTACAGGTTTGCCACATGGGGGCAGCAGAGAGCTTGGTACGTTTTGTTATATTTCATCAGAGTTTAGTATTCAGAGTCAGAAGTGGAATACATAATCAGCTTGAGTATTTAAAATGATTTTAAAAAAGTTCTTCCAATCAAACTCCCTCAGTTTGCTTGCATTGTGCTAATTTAGCGGTGCAATAACGTTCCAAGTCGACGTTATTTGTGTCGCTTCCTTAATGAAAGCAGCAGACTCATTGCTCATGTTGAAGAAGACTCTGCTTTCAGTTAAAGAAAGGCTTTCTTCTCCCACAGGGGGACTGAAGGTTGGCAGAGCTGCTCTTGAACCTCTAATGCTTTTACCAGCTTTACAAGAAATAACTGAAAACCAGTGACCGGAGATAAATCCACACATGTGTACAACATAAGGAAGCAGCCACTTCTTAATTTAACCTGAATGGAATGGTTGGGGCTCCAGGCCAATTAGCTCCTTCACTAAATTGTGCTCCCATTTTGACCCACTTGTTGCCAGTTGGGCTCCTCTGACTTCCGTTTCAAACCAGTAAACAAATCAGTTCATACCTATGCCCTTAGCTGTTACATATCATTTGGTTCATGAAAATAGATGAGAATTTTCATGAATGATGGAGGAGCAAAGTCATAAAATTGTGCAAATGTCATGAATAATTCAATTTACTTATGTTGAGTTTTGCAGACTTGGCACCGCGCAACGTTTTCAGTTTTTTTTTGGCCAGTTGATAGTCTAGAAACACTCATAGAAGCCTATTTTAATAGTTAAAACAGATTGAGAGTTTTTAACATCTATAGTCTTCCTTATCTCTGCTTCCTTATCAATGCAACAGAAAATAAAAGCCACACCTTGACTTTTATTTTCTGCTCTGCAAGCACCACCCAATAGCATGTCCAGCAGCACTGCACATGAGTATTTCAGCTTATTCAGCTAATTATTTTTTTTTTATACTTTGGATATGCTCTACAATAAAATCCATGAACAGGGGATTCCACAAATATTAAGTCAGATAAAAATCCAGTCTAAGTGACGAATGAGGCAATGGCTGCCAGGTAGTTGAGAGTAAAGTCAAGCTGTGGTCTTTTACATACAATCTTTTACATATTTTGCTGGATATATCAACAATATCCTAACAATTCGAGCTGCGCCTTTAAGTTGCAAACATCTTCTGTTTGGTTCTATTTTCTTTTGTTTTTGTCTTTTTACCTGAGAGGTCCAGGTGTTCCAGGTTGGGGCAGCGGGACACCACCTCAAACACAGCATCATTTGAGATGTTATAGCAGCCGGCGACCTCCAGACGTCGCAGCTCCGGGCAGCACTGAGCCAAGATGTGCAGGCCGCGGTCGGTGAGCCTCTTGCAGCCATTGACCACCACTGTTTCCAAAGTCAGGCAGACGTTGGGGGTGTCCTGGCATAGCCTGTGGGTCAGGACTCGGATGGCGCGGTCGGCATGCAGCAGCTCTCCCGTAAGCCGGATGGTGCTCCACAGCCGGGGATCCCATGCCAGGTTGTACCAGCGGCGGCACACGCGAGCGCATCGACAGAGCTGGTTGGTTGGGAGGTGGGAGAAGATCTGCAGGAGGGTGTGGTCGGGGAGTAGGTTGATAGGGGCATAGTGGTGGGATTTGGACTGTCTGGAGCGGGAGTGGACGCCAGGCTGAGGGTGGATCACG